GTGCGACGCTTGGGTTGCCGTTAATGTATTAAGATTGTAAAAAACTTTTGGGGTAAAAATATATAGGAAGGTTTTTTGCTTTTTTATTATAAATTAGTGTATATTGATTAAAATAAATTACATTTATTTTATAAAAGAATGATTTTTTTGTTTAATTTTCACAAATTATGCACAAAATACTATTAAAAATTTGGTTTTCCAACTTTGAAATTGGCTTAATAAAATCTATTAAGTTGTATTCAAGTAAGATATCTACAGAGTAATAGCAAATAATATAACAATTCATATGACATAAGTTTTATACATAGCTTCCATACAATATTTTAGAGAAATTACTAATTTAATCGCCACGCGCCGATATCGCGAAATTACCTCCTAAGGCCCTAGCAGACGCGACATATTTGCAAAATGACCGGCCGGCAGACGAGGGGTTATTATGACTTAATTCTAAAAGTTCCAACCTCTTTTTTAAATAATTTTGACGGGTACTCATTGTAACGAATTTTATCATGTTTTGTTTAACTTTTTAATTGCCGACGTTTCGGGTGCTTTACGTCCTGATGTCATAGTTAGCCGGGCCTTCACCTTCAGTTTTAGAATATTAATTTTCGGTCCGATCTACGCAGAACTAGCTTACAGTATCTTGAAGTCTTGCAGTAGTATGCTTGGGTTTGATTTTAACTTTGTTAATTCTAGGATCCCAAGCAGATGGCAGCACCCATCCGTCTTCTCTGTTGAAATTAAGATGTCCTATCAATCTAATGAAATGGCGGAGACGATCTTGAACATGTTTATAGACTGCAGACTTGCCGGAGCGTCGGTGCTTCACGTCAGTTATAAATGTTCTTTCATGCGAGTTTCTATAGATCTTTTTGTTTGCCCTATCCTGACAGATGGTAGAAATTTATTAATCTTCGGCTTCTTGTAGTAGGTTTTAATGGAATCTTACATCAAAATATAGCCAATCTTGTTTGTGACTCCTCTGACATACGGTAGTACAGCAGGCACACGCTGGACTGGCCGGCTTCACTCGTTCACAGTGATGTAAAACTTGCTTGACATGCTGAAGCTCGGCGGTCAGATGTTTTCTGTTACAGATCCCTTGTGCTCTCTAAAACAGAGATTTACCCACGGTAGCTAATTGTTAAGAAAGATGGTGAGATTCACCATTTAGATATCGGTTGGTATGAGTATTTTTCCTATACAAAGTGTGACCAATAGTGTTATCAGGATTTCGGATGACTAAAACATCTATGAAAGCTAAAGAATTATTTGTCTGGGTGGTCTAAAAATGCAGTTACTTTGACAGATGGTAAAATTGTGAAAGTGTCATATACGTACCGCTTGTAGAATCTTGGAATTACAGGAGCAGTAAGAAGGGCTTTCTCCTCAAAGTCTTCCATGAATATGTTGGTAACATTGAACCCATCACCACACCATCTACTTGCTTGTAGAACTCCTCCTTCCACAATGTATTCCAGAAGTGTTATTTTCTTCTACGTGTAGCTCCTTAGTTATAATTGAAAGTTTATACGTGGTAGAGCCATGCTGCAGTTATATTAATAGTATAGTGGTAGCACGAATGGGTCGGCTCGACCGGTGAAGGATCACGCTCTCACAGAATACCAGCGTGAAATAGTAGCTTAATCCTGCTGTGTTTCGTATGGTGAGTGTAGAGAGCCGGAGACCTTTTTTACTGGAAACGAGGCATTCCATCTTAGTCCTCACGGGTGACAACGCATCTGCATTTTGATTCGTAATCGAGGATAGATGTAGATGTCTATGGGCCGCAGCAACCACTTACCATCAGGTGGACTGTGTGCTCGTTTGTCACCCATTCCTATAAAAAAAAAGTTGAATTAAACGCGACGGTTTTTTGCTTCTTCTTCCCAGGACAAAGGTATTATTTCAAGATATAGATCCCTTTACACCGTTTAACCTTTTCAAATAATGAAGCATTTTGCAAGCAATGGACGACATATGTAGATGTCTATGGACCCCAGTATACGCTTACCATCAGGTGGACGCTCGTGGTGCTCTTTCGTCACCCTCATTCTATAAAAGAAAGTGAAAAATGACTTTCAATAAATATTACTTCTAATCTACGTTGATTAATATTAAATAAAATATATTCTTTCTTATTTGAAAATATACGCTATATATATATATATATATATATATATATATATATATATATATATATATATATATATATATATATATATATATATATAATTTATAAACACAAAAGGTGCGTAATTGCAGCACGAATGGGTCGGCTCCACCGGGAAAGAATCACGCTCTAACAGGCTACAAGTTTAAAAAAGCAGCCGAATGCGAGAAACGAGGCATTCCATCTTATTAACAAAAAATATATATTAATCAAAATACCTGGACAAAATGTGACATTTTTCACTCTTGCTAAAAAATTTTACACTTATTTTATACTGGAAAACAGTAGATATTGTTACAGAGTAAGGTGGTAAGTACGCAGAAAAATTACAATTTTTATGTGACATGTGACAGTTTCCACGAAATAATTTATAAAACGTGTAACGTACGTGGTACAGCCACGAAGGACCACGCTCTGAGAATACCATCGTAAAATAGCAGCTTAATAGCTGTCTTTCGTATGGTGAGAATAGAGAACCGAAGACCCTTTACTGCAAAGGAGGCATTCCATTTTAGTCGTCAGGGATGAAAACGCATCTGCATTTTGAATCTTAATCGAGGTTAAATGTAGATTTTGGGCCACAGCATCCACCTACCATCAGGTGGATTGTGTGCTTGTTTGTCACCCTAATTCCATAAAAAATATCATATCTATATTTTTATCTTCCATCTTATATGCTCTCGTACATCCAGAAAAAATCATCATTACGTCATCATATATGTTCCTCATTGTTGATAACGCATTTACATTTTGATTCTTTATGGAAGATATTAAAAATTTTGGCATTAAACTGTGACATTGTCGCGTCTACACACAGCAATTCTTTGCCGGGTCATCTACGGTACGTACTTTCACCTTTTCGTCGGGTTGTGCTTTCACAGGTGCCTCATTTGACGATAACTGCTTAGTTATAATGGTTTTCCATTATTGAAATGACATACATAAACTAAAAGGTAATTAACAGCCTATATACGATGAATATAACCAATTAACTTGTAATTTTTGAGTAAGCATACGTGGTAGAGCAATGTAAAAGCCATAAAAAAATTTAAAGCAAAAAATACCAGTTCATTGCCACATTCAAAAAATTAAATTTCTAGGCAATTTGAGGTGACTCAGCTTCCACAAGGTTTGCAACTTGATTTTTGCTTGCACAGAACTGCGATCCTATGAAGCAATGGTTTTCAGGCCCTATCTAGGCGTCGTGAGAGTTGCGTCTTGACCACTCATACCATAACAGCCCATAAAACTTCCACTGCTTCCCCATATCGTCCCGTGGGTGTCGTAAGAGGCGACAAAGGAAACCAAGTCAGGAGATGGGCAGGCGCTGAGAGGTGAAATTATTAAATCAACAGTAACATTACAACTATGGCAAATATCTCCCCTACGAGGCAATCTATGGGGGAGGCCTATGTTCAGCAGTGGACTTTAATAGTCTATAATGTGTGGATGTATAGAATGTAATCTACCAGGAGCACATGACACACTGAGAGGTGAAATTATTAAATCAACAGTAACATTACAACTATGGCAAATATCTCCCCTACGAGGCAATCTATGGGGGAGGCCTATGTTCTCCCCCATAGATTGCTTCATATTAGTGTTGCCCAAAATCGGTCTTGGTCTAGCAGTCTTGGTCTTGTTCTTGCATTTTTGCAAGACCAAGACCAAGAACAAGACCGCCTAATTTTAGCAAGACCAAGACCAAGACTGACCGTGCAAGATTTGAGCAAGAACAAGACTAAGCCTGCGAGACTCTTGCGTTTTGCAGTTAGGAATGAGTGTCGTTTCAAGGAGTATAGGAGTTCGGGTATACGCTTAGGGACTATATGAGACGCAAAAATATATATAAAAAAATTTGGAAAATTGGACTTATGCGCATTACGAACAATACCATAAACATATATAGCGGATGAAAATATCCATTAAAAGAAAAAACAGTGCATCCCTAGTTTTGACCATCGGCACTTTGATAGTGCGCGGCGTCTTGTTGTCGGCATCATCAAAGGTCGAATACTGACCTGTCAAAGAAATTTTGCAGCTATTCGGAAGTACAAGGTCAAGATACACGCGCCGGCGGCTTTTATTGATATCGCATTCAATCGTCGCCGCCGCGCCGCACGCACTACATTTGACACTGTTTGAATACCGCCACAGAGTACATGTTCCAAAGATTAAAATAAGTTTCCGGGTGCTCAGAATGGACACAAATACATTATGCTGATCTCGCAAGGAATATTGTAATTAGATAATGGTAAGGATAGGTAGATAACATAATAATTTAATCTAGTAAGTAATTATTATAATATTAACTATATGGGTTTATAATAATTACTTACTATTATTATTATTACCTAATAGATAAACAGTTCACTGCAAATCTCGATTTTTGGAAGTGTGTGTTTTTAAACACAAAGTGTTCGAATATGTCGTCACCCATTTGATAAATATTGTAGACACTTTTAACACACTTGAAACGTGCCCCAAGAAATTAAAAAATAAAATCACAATATCTTTCCTTTAAAGTATATAATGCGTTCTTGGGTAGCGATATACGCTTTTATAATAAGATTTCAAAAGAAATGTTAGATCTTTCACCTATTCTTCAAGTCAGACAAAAATGCTTGGAACTGACCTCTCGTACTATACAGGACTAACTAGAAATTTCTAAAACCGATTTGGTATCTACATATACGTTTGACATTTTATGTTTGACTTATCGCTTTACATAATTATGGAACTATTGTAAAAATATTTTGAAAAGAGCAACTACTGAGTGTCTTACTTTCTTCCATGATTCTTCTCAGTAGAATCAGAACCCCTGGACATGGAAAAGAAAAAATTGGGGAAAACGGTAATTGTATGACTATTCAACGGTGTATTTTTAATGTCTACTTGAATAAAACATATTTGAATTTTGAATTTCAAACAAGTGAAGGCAAATTTAATTTAATTAACGTAGATTAATTCAATCGCAAGAAGAACATAATATACACAATTTTATTTACATTTCATTTTTACGTAGGCACACTATACCTATCTGACAACGCATCTACTTTATTAATCTTCTGAAGAATCATTAATTTTATCAAAGGATGCCGAACTTTCCTTTGTCGGTCTTTCGGCGTGTACTTACAAATAGTAGTATTTATTTTAATTCCAGTCATTCCCAATTGAGTTTTGCTTCGAGTCTAATGTATTAATTGTTTTTACTCTAATCCTTGTTGTTCTCTCAGTGATAAGTTTACAATTTGACATGAGTGACGAAGAGTCGAATAGTTCTAGTCGGAGTAGTGAGAGTTGGAGTTATAGATCTAAAAGACCTAAAAGTAAATTTGATGAGTTTTTCGACATAATTCATGCATCCCAAATTGCTTTGTGTAAATTATGCCAACATAAAAAGGTTGAAATAAAAATGAAAAACAGAAACACTTCAGGCTTAAGGAAGCATCTAATATCTTTCCACAAAAAGGAATCACAAATATTTTTTCCTGAAAAACCAAAATTAAGTGGAGATATCACAAGCTTTTTAAAAACCACCGGAAAAAATGGACAGGTACACATATATTATGTAACTAGCGGCCGCGTACGACTTCGTCCGCGTACACTATCTGATATCCTATGAGATTTTGAAATTTTCTCGCTGCAAAAGTCTTACCTAAGTATAAAGAGGCTATATAGGTAAAGCTTAACTATGCAAGTATTTATTATTTAAAACTAATAAAGTAAATGTCGATCTTCATATCTATACTTAAAAATATAGGACTTGCATGTAACCATTTTACTCCAATTTCACCCCCTTAGGGTTAGGATTTGGTAAAACAGCTTATTCAGGATTTTATTATTGAAAACTTATAACTTTAATGCCGATTTTCGTGTCTCTAACTTCAAAAACGTAGGACTTTGATACAAACTTCCAACTACCCATTTCACTCCCTTAGGGATAGATTTTCTCAAAACCGTTTCTTAACTGATCTCTATGCCATAAAAGGAACCTACCTTACAAACTTCAAGTTTGTATGTTTTATAGTTCCTGAGATATCGTTATAGTCAGTCAGTGAGTGGTAGTTACAGCTGGCGTGCCATCAAATCTGAATCCCATACTCGACTGTCCAACGAGATGGAATTCCACACATGATATGATTGGATTTGGTTTAAAAGTGAGAACTGGCATTAACATATTGTGCACTTCTGTCACCGAATTGAATGATTTTCAAATCACAGATAGTGAATGGCAAATACTCGAAAAAATACATAAGTTTCTAATCGAAGATGGCCCATGATTTTCTTTCAATACCTGCAACTTTAGAACCTGCTGAGAGATTATTTTCTAAAGCATCATTAGTAATTAGAAAACATAGAAATAGGTTAAGTGATGAGCCAGCCAGATGGTTACTTTGTATTAATTCTTGGTCAAAAGAATTAATATAAAGTAACAGTAATGTCAAAGCTGTTGTGTACTTTTAAATAAATGGTAAATTGTATAACTCTTTTATTCCATTTCATATAAGGGTCTATCAATCTCTTTCTAGACAGATAATGTTCTTTATAATACAGTCAAGTTAATGTCATTAATTTGTTTTTTATATGTTTTGACTACGTTTTAGCACATGTAAGCTTATTAAATGTAAACGTTTATTAAGAAACAGACTAACTCCCGTGGCCGTGAGACTTGGTAGACAGCTCAGTTGGTTAGAACATCGACACGGATCGCATAGGTCGTGGTTTCGAACCCCACCCGGTATTAGTTGATTTTTCGAATTTCTCATTAAATGTTTAGACATTTATTAATTTGATTGGTCTTTCTATGGCTATGTTAATTCAAGCTCAAAATGTGCCTACTCTGTTTTTTAAAAACAATAGGCTAATAGGTAATTGCGAGACTTGCGAGACTCTTGCTGCAAGACCAAGACCAAGAACAAGACTGAGAGCGCAATACCAAACAAGAACAAGACATGCGCAAGACAGACCAAGACTGACTAAGTCTCGTCTTGTTCTTACATTTGGGCAACACTACTTCATATGTATGCAACATGATGACGGTAATTTCACTACATTCGTAGCAAGTGCAAGCTCAAAATGATATTGCGATTACCAATTTCATTGATGTCCGTGTGATCGAGACCTGGTGTTTTCGGCACTGTGAAATTAATAGCGGGCGTTTAGATCTGACTATAATGGATTCTTTTAAATGGCAGTAAAAAATATTTTATACAAAAACATTACATTTAGAAGTGAAATAGCCACGCTACAGCTATATTATGGTTGCTCGAACGAGTGGAGACCACGCTCTCACAGAACACCAGCGTAAAATAGCAGCTTAATGTCGCTGCGTTTCGTATGGTGAGTGTAGACGACCAAAGACCATTTTTGCAAATAAGGCACTCTATCTTACTCCTTAGGGGTGGCAACGCATATGTATTTTGATTCTTAATCGAGCACAGCATTCACTTACCGTAAGGTGGACTGTGTGCTCGTTTGCCAACTCTGTTTTATAAAAAAGATAAATAGACACTTAAGACGTGTTGTATGAAGCAACAAATAAAACAAATCAGGAGATGAGCAGCAGCGTCTTCCTGATGACGACTTCTAAAAAAACAGCGGTTCCAAAACTCGCCTGTTAATTACGGTATCTGTTGTATAAATATAACCCCCAAGGAGTTAATCTGCCGTATTGTGGCGGTGTGAAAATATCCACTACCACATATCATTCCGTGGATGTCGTAAGAGGCGGCAGAGGGAAATAAACCGGAAAATGGGCACAAAGGTATTTAACAAACAAAAATTTAAAATAAAACCGCGCTTCCAAATTGACCCTGCGAAGCGTGGCATTTATATAGAGTAATATCTCCCTAAGAGGTAATCTATATGAGAGGCCAACATTCACCAGTGGAATTTGCCAGGTTTTATCGGTGTGGGTAAAGTAAAAACGGTCTTTCATCATAAAACGTGTTATTGATTTCATATGAATAGATAGATCTAACTATCTCACTATCGATTGTAAAGTACCTCACACCGTTTGACTATACGAGAGTGATCGTCACGAAATAAGAGAACAATTTAAACGAGATGCCCAACGTAATCCGGCTCGACCACATTCCCTCTGAGAAAGTGAACGCGCAGGTTGTCGAAAGTTGATTGACCACTGAGCATAAGTCCAAAAGATTATCATATGTTTATTTCATAGTTTCTCAAAGTAGTATACACGAACCCCTAGGGGTTCGCTACATGGTCATAGGTGGTTCGCTGTTAAATATTTTTTCGAAGAAAAAACACCTTTCAAGGATTTCTGTGTTATTTTTTTTTAAAGAACGAGGGTGAAAAACGAGCACACAATCCACCCGATGATAAGTGGATGCTGTGGCTCATAGACATCTACATCTGTACTCGGTTAAGAATACAGTTAACATTTACTAACAGTTAACAATACAAAATAGAGATGCGTTGTCATCTCAGAAAATTAAGATGTAATGTCTCTTACCATACGAAACACAGCAGTATTAGATATGGCAGAGGTACTTAAGGTTACTTTTTACTTTTTTTTTGCAACGACAAGATGCATGAGAGTAGTATAAACGCAGTAGAAATGCGGTCGCTAAGGAGTATGTTAGGGCTGAATGACAGGCTGACAGGTTATACAAAACTATCACTCAATTAAAATGAATTATATTTCAATAAACCACAATGACATTTTTATAAGTAGTTACATACGCTTCCCCTCTCCTAGCCTTATATTTTAAACGAACACTACATACTTTACAGCACCCATGGTCACTGGGAGAGGGGAGGGGGGGAAGGTGTTCGACATCTCAATGTCATTGTTAAACGAGGTTACCCACAGATTAAAATCACTAATTTTTGTTCCGATCTACGCAGTATGAACTTATAGTATCTTGAATTCTTGCAGTTGTATGTGCTTGGGTTGGGATTTAATTTTATTAATTATAGGATAGGATTAATTATAGGACCTAGCCATCTTCTCTATTGAAATTGGGAAGCGAATCATCCTTGGAAGGAATCGGAATCGGAATTCTTTAGTGGGGACTATCCTGTACGTGTTCATAGACTGCAGTCTGATAAAATCCGTAATACTAGTTTTATTAAATAGGTTTATATCACTGGTCTCTCATTATTTTATAATATCCTATGTACTCGTACATTATGGTTTAGCGATAAATGTTCAAGTTTGAGTTCAAAGCACGGTCCTGAGGCCCAATCACAATAACAACAAAACTCTATTCGCTTCGGTTGGATTCGAACTAGAGACCCACGTCCACGGAATCTGGTACTCTGAGCATTACGCTATTCTTACAGAGAATATTATAAATATGGAAACGATTTCTAATTTCAATAACGTATGCATTTATGAGTTTGTGACATCGCATCTCAAAACTAATTAGAAACTTGACTCTGAACTCGATTGAAAAATCGTGTCACTAGAGTTCATACATATGAAACGAATGAGGGTAATAATTTTACGCTCGCCAGATGTCACTAGTTTTTTTACCAATCTGTAATTTTAAAAAAAATTAGTTGTTTGTAAAGTGAGCTTACAGACGATAGTTTAACGTGATAACGTCATAACAAAACATTGATGAAATGATTGCATACATTTATGAATAAAATTGAATCATTTCTATTGAATTATCACTATTTTGTATGGATACAAAGAAGGAGTGAAATTAAATCTACAATTAAATTGATAAATTTACTTTTAATGCGTCGCAATCCGAAAGCTCAAGCCGATCGTGTCTTTCGCTCGCTCGTGCAGCGCTCTCGCTCCGATCGTAACGTTACAACGAGTCATCCGTTTTCGTACGTGCAGCCGGCGTTCATCGATTTATTAGATGTTGTCACATCAAAAAGGAAAAAGCAACTAATGCATTTTTCGATCTATGTATAAGTAATATAACTATTCTATTATTACTATTAACAAAGTAACTATTTCTCAACTTCTGTGCAAATTAAAAAAATGTTGTCAACGGGATTTGGACCGAGGTGATTTTATTTATCACGGAAATGGTCACAAGGTGTCATCTTAATAGAAAAGTTGCTATTTAAATATAGGTTTTCAAAAACAAAGTCTCGGTACTGTGTTGTTTAATTTTTTACACGCACTAACTTTTTTTAAATTGTTCTACTTTTCGGAATAGCTGTAGTTTAATAAAATAGAGCTATTTTTTATATTAATAAACGAGCACACGGTCCACCTGATGGTAAGTGGATGCTGTGACCCACATACATCTAAATTTATCCTCGATTAAGACTAAATTATACAGGTGCGTTGTACACCTGAGGACTGCGATGAAATACCTCGTATCCATTAAAAAAGGTCTCCGGTTCTCTACACTCGACATACGAAACACGGCAGCATTAAGCTGCTAATTTACGTTGGTATTCTGTGAGAGTCTGGTCCTTCCCCGGTCGAGTCGACCTATTCGTACTATAATCATACGTGGCATTCCATCTTAGTCCTCAGTGAAATTCCATCTTAGTCCTCAGGGGTAACAAAGAATCTGCATTTTGAATTTTAATCGAGGATAAGTGTAGCCTATGGACCACAGCATCCATTTACCATCAAGTGGATTGTGTGCTTGTTCGTCACCTTTATTTTATAAAAAAAAGAACTACAATATAGCTGCAGTATGACTGTCATGTAGGAATGGTCCTATTTCATAAAGAAACATGAATTTTTACACTTTTCTTGCATAGTTAGCTTCCACCGCCATGAAATCTGTCAAATATTACACCTCATTCCAAAATAGCATTCGTACGTAGTAGAGCCATGCTAGCTAGCAGTATAGTTGTAGCACGGATGTGTCGGTTCGACCGGAGGAGCACGTGAGGAAGCCTGCATGTCCGAGAAATAAGAAATAAAAAATATTTCGAAGACATGTGAAGTGCGTATTGGGGCAGCGCAGCTCACACTTCCTTGTCCTAAAACCCTCTCAGATATGAGGAGGCCTGTGCCCAGCAGTGGGATTTATATAGGCTGTAACTTAAACTTATTAACTCTAACTACATTGAGACACATTACATACTACATTAATCTGCAAGTTATCATACATAAAACACGTATAGACTGAGAAAAAGTCAGCAGAACTCATTGAATTTTGCATGGGGATTTGCAACGTAACAGTTACTAATTAATTGCTAAAACACCAACACTTTAGATCAAACCAGTTAAAAAAAAAACCAGTTAAACTGTCCTCTTTTTTATAGAATAAGGAGAAAAGCGAGCACACAATACACCTGACCTGATGGTTAGTGGATTCTGCTACTCATAAACATCTACATCTACCCTCACTTAGGAATCAAAACGCAGATGCGTTGTCACCCCTTAGTACTGAGATATAATGCCTCGATTCCAGTAAAAAGTTTCTCCGGTTCTCTACTACACTTACCGTATGAAACATAGCAGCATTAATTTATTGAAAACGCGTTGTCACCCTCAAGACTTGGATAGCATAACTACAATATAAGAGATCATAGGAAACACATCGGTGTTATTTTGTTATTCCACGCTGGCATTCGCTATTCAAGCGTCATGACTTATGATGTCTGCGTTACGAAGCTTAATTCGTAACAAATTCGAATCACAAGCGATTTGCTAGGCTAAATCTGTGACTAATTGAACGCAAAATAGTAATTTATTCAGATGAAGATATTTTCTGAGATATGTTCGATCTAAATCTGACGAGTAATGGCGGCTTAAGAATGTAATGGGACACGTACGATGGTAGGTATACGTTTAAACGTGGTAGAGCATTGCTGCATTTTATTACTTTTCGTAACTCCCCCGATATCATAAAAATTATACACGAAACTCATTTGTGTATCGTTTCACTAACACTTACAATAAAAAATTTCACAGATATTGATTTATTTAATACATCAATATCAAAGCTTAAATCTGCTCTCTTTCAAAGTTTGGCTTGTGAATAATCTATTTACCCTTCACTGAAAATGTTGCAGCACTCAATTCGCTAATTGAATCTGAACTAAATTTGTCGGTGTTATAATAATCATTATATTTTAACATAGGTTTTTTTCTCTCTCTTGTTCTTAATTGCACACAAAATGTTAACTAGATACCTCATATTAGAACTTAGTGTATTAATAAATAAATAAATTTATAATGTCCTTTAGTACTAAAAGTAGCTCAATAAGTTTAAAATATTATAAAAGTTTAGTTACAGGCACTATAGGTCTTTAGTTATATTATTATTTATCCATGTTACTATCTATTTACATGACTGTTTGTTGCCTTGAATGAATCAAAAAAAACATTAGTATGAATGGGTAGCATGAATGGGTCGGCTCGACTGGGGCAGGACCACGCTCTCACAGAATACCAGCGCAAAATAGCAGCGTAATGCTGCTGTGTTTTATATGGTGAGTGTAGAGAACCGGAGACCCTTTTCACTAAGTACGAGGTATTTTATCTTAGTGCTCACTGAATTTCGATTCGGGATCGAGGATACATGTGGATGTCTATAGGCCGCAGCAACAACTTACCATCAGGTGGACTGTGTGCTCGTTTGTCACTTTTGTCCTAAAAATACGCACACATTGAGTGAACTATAGTTGCACGAATTGCTTAGTTGGACCGGGTAAGGATCAAAATCGCAACGAGTACCAACGTGAATTAACGACAATACCGCTGTTCCGTATGATGAGTGATGGTATAGTTATGCTGTCCCAGTCTACGGGGTGACAATGCATCTTCATATAGTTTCTTAATATGGGTTAATTGCGTTTATGCTGAGTTTCTCGATGTTTCGCCTAGAGTTACTTTCCATTGATAAAGTGAAAGTGCTAATGATTTTTTTTATTGTTTCAGTTTCCTCCATGGAGAACGGTAAGTGGCTTCAATAAAACATGTTGATTATACCCACGTAAAATCCATAGTCTATCTACCCTACGGCGATCAACATACTACTCGAATTCCTTCACGGTATCCTCAATTACACTTCGGTATAACCTTTCACGAGATTTAAAAGATTTAAAAGAATAAATACTATGTAATTTTATGGTTGACGTACCTACATTATTTAAAATTACTTGATTAATTATATTGGTTTATATATTATAATTTCTTATACTAGATTTTAAGTACATATAAGTATATATTGCATATATGTGGGACCCCATTCTGTATATATATATATGTATAAACTAACATAATTATCGCCTTTGTACTATTTTTTTGTTTGAGTGCAATATCGAATTTTCTATCTATCTATCTATGGCACAGTCTAAATACTACTAACTGTTGGTCAAAGACATCTGGAAGGGGCAAACGTGCGGTGTGTTCCGCCCATAGAATACCATAAAACACAATAGAATGGCTGTCAACTTTATTTTGTACCAGGCTTGGTGTCGCCAAACCCGATTCGCTGTGTTGACAGACTGAGTAAATGTATACATTTTAGACTTTTGATTAAAGTTCAAGTTCATCATTAAAAAAATTGTTTAAATTTTAATACATATTTATTTGTAAATAGTGTGCAATTTGACATTTTCTAAATAATTTGCATGCGAAATTTGGAAACGATTGTAACGTCAAAACACATCTCGTGTTGACATTTATACGTGTGAATTGACGTGTTAGTGACATTTTAGTGGCTACGCGGGCTCCGTCCACTCCCCCGTTCTATTATGTATGTATTATAGTATTCTATGGGTACAACCCTCTCACGCAAATAAATTAAAATGGTTCACATTACTGAGATGTAAAACACCTGTGGGTTTTCCTAATTTAATGATAAGGAATTAAAGTTTCATCGACTCCCACATACACAGGTATTTATTTTATGTGTGAAATAAAATAAAATATGTTTTTTTTATTACTTCCCGTTCTGACAACCCTAGCAATTTATTGTTTATGTCAGCTTTTCCGACAACATCAAACGCGATGGCTGACTGTATGTTTTTCTTGGGCTGTGACTATGGGGTCCCGTGGGCGAATAAGATCTTTTGGGTTTTATTACTGGAAATGTCTGCTACAAGTTTTCTAGGAGTTGCTTTGAAGTCTTCAGCGAGTAGAGAAGAAGGAAATCTGCGAGAGTGTCGAAGCAGAGACGAGCAGCAAGTGCTCAGAGCCGTGAGGAACACTGAAACGACGGTGTGCCCTATAAACACAGTCTGTGCGATGGGGTTTAATAAGGGTTTAATAAAAGCAGGGTTCATAAACTCATTACAAATTGCGGCCCGCCAATTAAGGCATTCACGACTTTTTTGCCATCATGGCGGCTCCAATTACGAAAAAGGTTAAATATTTGACAGATTTCATAGCGGGTGAAATGAATTTGTTAGAAAAGTGAAGATTAATTTTTCTCTTTGAAATATTAGTTATTATATCCTATATTAATTAGATAAGAAATGGAAGAAGAAAGTAAATATTTTTTTATAGTATAAGGGTGACAAACGAGCACACAGTCCACCTGATGGTAAGTGGTTGCTGTAGTCATAGACACATACAAATCCTCATACAATCACCCATCCATATAGTATAAGGGTGACAAACGAGCACACAGTCCACCTGATGGTAAGTGGTTGCTGCGGCCCATAGACATCTACATCTATCCTCGATTACAAATCAAAACGCAGATGCGTTGTCACCCGTGAGGACTAAGATGGAATGCCTCGTTTCCAGTAAAAAGAGTCTCCGGTCCTCTACACTCACTGTACGAAACAGCAGCATTAAGCTGCTATTTCACACTTGTATTCTATGAGAGCGTGGTCTTTCCCCGGTCGAGTCGATCCATTCGTGCTACAACTATACTACTAATATAACTGCAGCATGGCTCTTTCACGTAATTAAAATGTGTAAAAAATTCAAGAATACAATACTGAGTAATTTTTTTGTGTCTAAACGAGTGCATGCACTAGAAATTGACAAACTTTAATTTAAAACGCAACTTTTCAATGATAATTACAGTGGGTGCGTTTGGCAGAAAAAAGCGCTAGCAAGCGCTTGTAAGCAAAATGGCGATCGTAAGCGGTAAGCGCTGTCAAATCGTAAGTAGCTATTTTCCTCCAGGACACGATGTTAGTTTTAACCGGGGAACCTAACCTAATTTAAATATATGTTTGTAAAGTATTCATATTAAAAACTTACCAATCATGAATTTTTAATAACATATATATGTTTATTCATGTCATTATATTACTTAAAACTAATATTGCACAAAACAACTTATAAATTCTACTTCAAAACAAACAAATTAAATAAGCAAAATGGCGGATTGTGTCAGCGCTACTGAAGTAGCAATCGCGTCCTGGCCGAAAACTATATCAGCGCTTACAAGCGCTTGCTAGCGCTTTTTTCTGCCAAACGCACCCAGTGTGTCACAGATTAAATAATAGTACACTGTGTACCGTGAAGCTTACAGCGAGCGCTTAGCCTCTGACACTGAGCTACCAGTATCTACAGAAGTCTACAAAAATTAAATTTATTGATTTATTCAAAATTCTAAATAAAACTAGTTTTTAAGGATTTTATCGCGTATATTCAGTTATTTTATAGTCCCGACTTTTCGAACACTTTATAGCACCCATGGTCACGGGGAGGGACTGAGGTGTTCGACGTCCCAATGTCAACAGTTAACACATAAGTTAACCACGGCTACTCCTAAATTATTAATTTTTATTCCGATCTACCCAGTATGAACTTATAGTATCTTGAAGTCTTGCAGTTGTATGCTTGAGGTGGGATTTAATTTTATTAATTATGGGATATCAAGCAGATGGCTCCGTGGTAGCACAGTAGATCCGTGATAGCTCAGTGGTTAACGCTCGCTGTAAATATAACAGAACGCGAGTAACCCGGGTTCGATCCCCGCCGGCACCAATGAAATTGTTAATTGCAATTTTAAGTGCTGATTTATCACATGCTCGGCGGTGAAGGAAAACATCGTGAGGAAACCTGCATGTCTGAGGAATAAGAAAATAAAATATTATACGAAAGACATGTGAAGTTCATCAACACGCATTTGGGCAGCGCGGCGGACGCTTCCTTGCCCTAAACCCTCTCAGAAATGAGGGGAGGCCTGAGCCCAGCAGTGGGACGTATATAGGCTGTAACTTTACTTTACTTTACTATAAGTAGATGGCAGCACCCAGCCATCTTCTCTATTGAAATTAGGATGTTTTTTGATTTCAATAGCCTCGCGAATCATCTTTGGAAGGAATCGGTGTTCTTTAGCGAGGAAAGTATATTTACGGATTCCATCGCGTTTACTTTTACTTATTTTTGATTCCCGGCGTTTCGGGCGCTTTGCAGCACCCATGGTCACGAGGATCTGAGTTGATTGACGACTTGATGTCAAAGTTAGGCCGGAGCACCTTCGGTTTTTTAATTATTACTTTTGGTCCGATCTACGCAGGATGAACTTACTGCTGAGGAGAGATCCGAATAGACTAAGAGTAATATATAAAAAAGCTGTTGGTTTTCTAGGTTAACTTTGATATTGGGACGTCAACCACCTCAATCGTCTGACTACTAGGGGTGCTGCAAAGCACTCGAAACATCGGTAATTAAAAGTAAGTAAAATTAAACGAGATAAAATCCATAATAGTAGCTTTATTCAATGCTACTCGTAGGTATAGCTACGCTGCAGCTATATTATGGTGGTCGGGTCGACCGGGGCGGGACCACGCTATCACAGAATATCAGCGTAAAATTGCAGCGTCGCTGGCATTTACTGCTGTTTCATATGGTGAGTGTAGAGATCCGGAGATCATCAGACATTTCATCTTACCAGGCATTCCATCTTAGTACTCAGGGGTGACATATGCGTTTTGAACCTTAATCGAGGCTAAATGTGGATGTCTATAGGCAGCATCCACTTACCATCGTGTGAACTGTGTGCTCGTTTGTCACCTTTATTCTATATAAAAAACGTAAATATAAAATTTTTAAATTTTGGTTTCATAGACACCCAAAACGTAGCTATAGTTTATACGATGTCACCCTGATGTGAAAGTGAACGAACCATTTGTAATGTTACGAACAGTAGAGTCATAATACAGATTCGAAGCAGCAACACTTTCACTGTTAGCGCCTCGTGCTGTGGCATAGACTTTAGAACGTCTAGAGTTGACAAGCCATTCACGGTCAGGCCTTAAGGCCAAGAAAGAAGTGTTGATCCTGAATAATTTTTCAAACATGACAATAATAAGCATACAATAAAAGCGACTGCGAACTGAAAAGGTCGTGAAGCTCTTCTGACACAAGAATTTTGAGTTTACCAAGAGTGGTTTAAAAGGAATATTATTCACGTTAACAGCATTGCTAATATTTATTGACGAAAAATAACTATTGGCACTGTTTCAGTAACATATTTAAATTTTTTATTTAAAATTACATTCGTATAGATAGATCTATTGGATTTCAGTTTTTTTTTAAACTTAGCTATTATAAATATGTACTTGTAAGTGTATTGTATTACAAACAATTTGACTTTATAAGGAGGTGCTTCTGTTAAACTGCATGTCTGAGGAATAAAATATTTCGTAGATATAAGAATTCCGACAAACACAGACTAACTACTTCGTAATGCTCTCGGAATGACAGGTTTATGCATAGTACAAGTATTTGGAAATGCAATTTTTTTTCATCAAATCTCGAAGTTTTGAAGTCACAGGAAATCACCCTAACAATTTTTCGAAGATATTCGTATGTCTTTTGAACGGCTTGACCAATTGAAATGAACTAAGCGGATTTCCAAAGTGTTTCATCAATCTTAGATTTCTTATGAATTTTAACTAATTTGGACCAGTAGATTTTGAGAAATCGGAAAATTAAAAAAATTTAAAACTACTTTTTTGGAATAAATTTTAAACAGCTTTAGCGAT